GTGGACCTGCACAGACAATTTTCTGTCTTAGGCTTTAGTATCCATTACGATTTTCAAATACCAAATTTTAAAGAATTCCGGTGAATAATATCGCTAAAATCATCAAAATACCGAATATCGGGAGGTACCGTTATACGCAGACGTGAACCTACACAGACAATTTTCTGTCATAGGCTGCAGTATCCCTTACGAACTTCAAATATCAAATTTGAAACAATTCCGATGAATAATATCGCTAAAATTATCAAAATACCGAATATGGGGAGGCACTATTATATGGGGGCTATATGAAAACGTGGACCTGCACAGAGAATTTTCTGTCTTAGGATGTAGCATCTATTTCGAACTTCAAATACCAAATTTGAAACAATTCCGAAAAATAATAACGCAAAAATCATCAAAATACCGAATATCGTCAGGTACCGTTATATGGGGGCTATACCAAAACGTGGACCTACATGATCCATTTTCAATAACAAAAGTCCTGTAGACCTAATATACATTTGAGTAAAATTTTATCAATCTATTTCATTTCGTTCGGAAGCTAGAGTGATATTCACTGACGGACGGACATCGACATAGAATTTTATGCTAATCAAGAATATACAAACTTTGTGGGGACTAAAATGTATATTTTGAGGTATTAAAAATGGAATGACAAACATAATATACCCTCCATACTGCGGTGGAGGGTATATAAAAAAATTCTAAAAGACCAACATCCTTTTAATTAACGGTTTTTAATAGAAATTTCTCACGAAACCGCTGTCTTTTTAAAAGTCGATTTTTATGGAGAATTTCTCAAGGCAAAAGTGGATTATTAAGTCGGATTTCTAAAGGATTTTAAAGAAAATATTTTCAAGGACCCACCGACGTTTTAGGCGTGGCTATTAAGAAAAATAATTCAAAGATCAGTAGGCTTTTTAAGACATCTCTACTTTGGATGAACTTCTCAAGGACTTAGCCTCTGCCCCTTTTTGATGTGTATTCTTAAGGACCCCATCCGTCTGCTATAAACGTGAATTTAAAAAAAAATATCTAAAAGAAAAAATGAATAGTCCCTTTACGTGAACTTTAAAAATATTTTCTGCAGGACCCACTGCAAATTTTTGAAATTTTTTTTATCAAAAAAGTAGAAATTCCTCTTGATAATTCATCCATCAAGAGGAATTTCTACTGGTTCAACAATGGATTTCTACTAATATTTCCAAAGGATCAGCAGATCCTTTATACTTGTTTCAAACAAATATTTTTTCAAAGGCTTCTTTTTAAGCATGGATTTTTATGAATAAAGGATTTTTACCAACCAACCAATAAAGGATTTTTACCAACTATTATTATTTTGAAAGAATCAATATTCCCTTAGTTGTGGTTTTTCAAGAAAATTTTCTGAAGGACCAACGATGGATTTTTTTTGCGAATGTCTTCAAAGGATCAACAACTCCTTTAAACGTGTGTTGTTCGTGTTTCTATGGAGAACATCTCAAGGTGCAGTTGCCGTTTCAAACGTGTATTTTTATGAACAATTTCTCAAGAATCAATAATGTATTTTTATTAATATTTCCAAAGGATCAACAGATCCTGTATACTTGTATCCATCGAATACTTTTTCAAAGGATCAACATCTACAGTAAACATGGATATTTAAGAAAAAAATTCTAGGATCAAGAATGCATTTTTACCAATTTTTTTTCAAAGGATCAACATTCCCTTAAATTTGTTTTTTGAAGAACTTTTTCAAAGGACTCACAGCTTGTTAAGAATTGGAATTTAGAAAGATATTTTTTAGTACTTTTAGGCATTGATTTTCCGAAATATTTTTCAAGAAACTACTACCCTTTTTGATAGGGTTTCTTAGAAACATTTCTAAAGGATCAACAATCGATTTTTATGAATATTTTTCAAAGAATGAACAACTCCTTCAAACGTTTTTTTTACAAAAACATTTTTTGTAAGGATCAACAGTACCTTAACTGTGTTTTTTAAGAAAGTTTTCTCAAGGATTTACAGCTTGTTAACAATTCAAATACTACCAGTCTGTTTAAAAGTGAATGCTTAAGCTTTAAAACGTCAATCATAAATATACATTTTTGATGAAAAAAATCGTTTCTAAAATTGTATGGGTATTTTTTCAGATTTTAAAATTTCTTAAACTTGCATTTTTCAAAGGATATTTTTAAGGACCAAGGCATTTTTAAAGGATATCATAGGTAAATATTTAAAGGATATAAATTTGAATTTTTAATCAAACATTTTTAAGAACCAACAGACCTTTTTAGAATTTTATTTTTAGAATTTTTTTAAGGTTCAGAATTTTTTTAAGGTTTCTACAGACGGACGGACGTTGCTAAAACGACATAGAATTTTATGCTGATCAAGGATATGTATATTTTGTTGGGTCTAAAATATATATTTTAAGGTGTTACAAACGGAATGACAAACTTAATATACCCTCCATACTATGGTGGAGGATTTAAAAACAATTCTAAAAGACAAACATCCTCTTAGTCAATGATTTTCAATAGGAATTTCTCACGAAATCGCTGTCTTTTTAAAAGTGGATTTTATGGAGAATTTCTCTAGGGAAATGTTGATTATTAAGTCGGATTTATAAAAGATTTTAAAGAAAATATTTTCAAGGACCCACTGACGTTTTAGACGTAAAATAATTCAAAGATCAATAGGCTTTTTAAGACATCTCTACTTTGGATGAATATCTCAAGGACTTAGCCTCTGACCCTTTTTGATGTGTATTCTTAAGGACCCCATCCGTCTGCTATAAACGTGAATTTAAAAAGAAAATGTCTAAAAGAAAAGAAATTGATATTTTCTTTAAACGTGAACATTAAGAATATTTTCCGCAGGACCCACTGCCATATTTGACATTGATTTTTAATGAAAAAAGTATTTTGGATAGATTATAAAGAGAAGAATTTCTAAATAATCGATAATGGATTTTTACTAATATTTTTAAAGGATCAACAAACTTGTTTCTAACGAATATTTTTTCAAAGGTCCATCGTCATCTTCTCTAAGCATGCATTTTTATAAATGAATTCTCAAGGACCAACAATGGATTTTTATCAACTGTTTTTTTATCAACTGGATTTTTACCAACTGTTTTTTTTTTCAAAGGATCGACATTCCTTTAGATGTGAATTTTGAAGAAATTTTTCTAAAGGACTTAGAGGTTGTTAAGAATTAAATTTTTAAGTATACTTTTTCAGAAATACTTCTCAAGGACCTACTACACATTTTGACATGGTTTTTCAAAAAAAAAAATCTAAAGGATCAACAATCGATTTTTATGAATATTTTTCAAAGGATGAAAAACTCCTTTTAATGGGTTTTAACAAAAATATTTTTTGTAAGGATCAACAGTGCCTTTTTAAGAAAGTTTTATCAAGGATTCACAGCTTGTTAACAATTCAAATACTGTTTAAAACGTCAATCATGAATAAAACATTTTTGAAGAACAAAATCGTTATTCAAATTTGATGGGTATTTTTTCAGATTTTAAAATTTCTTAAACTTGCATTTTTCAAAAGATATTTTTAAAGACCAAGGCATTTTTAAAGGATATAATATTAAATATTTAAATGATATAAATTTGAATTTTAAAATCAAACATTTTTAACAACCAACAGACCTTTTTAGATTTTGATTTTTAGAATTTTATTCAAGGTTCAGCAAAATAATTATTTGGGCAACCCTTCAAAACTTTGGCCATTAAAGGATACCTTTGAGAACCAAAAAATGTACTAAAATTGAATTTTTGGAGGGTATTTTTCAGATTTCAACGTGACATTTTAGACGGTAATTTTAAGTGAATGTTGATGGAAGTTTTCCAAGGCTTTTAAAGGATAAGAATTTGATTTTTAGCATTTTTTCAGGGTTCAGCAACCCTTCAAAACTTTGGCCATAAAAGAATACCTTTGAGAACCAAAAATGTATTAAAATTGGATTTTTGAAGGTTGTTTTTTTAGGTTTCAACGTAAAATTTTAGAGAGTATTTTTAAGTGAATGTTGATGGGAGTTTTCCAAGGCTTTTAAAGGATAAGAATTTGATTTTGTAGCATTTTTTCAGGGTTCAGCAACCCTTCAAAACTTTGGCCATAAAAGAATATCTTTGAGAACCAAAAAATGTATTAAAATTGGATTTTTGCAGGTTGTTTTCTTTAGGTTTCAACGTAAAATTTTAGAGGGTATTTTTAAGTGAATGTTGATAGGAGTTTTTCAAGGTTCTTTAAAGGATAAGAATTTAATTTTTAGATTTTTTTAAGGTTCAGCAACCCTTCAAAACTTTGGCCATTAAGGGATACCTTTGAGAACCAAAAAAATGTATTAAAATTGGATTTTTGGAGGGTATTTTTCAGATTTCAACATGACATTTTAGAGGGTATTTTTAAATGAATATTGATGGGAGTTTTCCAAGGCATTTAAAGGATAAGAATTTTATTTTTAGAATTTTTTTCAAGATTCAGAAACCCTTCAAAACTTTGGCCATAAAAAAATACCTTTGAGAACCAAAAAATGTATTAAAATTGGATTTTAGGAGGGTGATTTTTTTAGGTTTCAACGTAAAATTTTAGAGGGTATTTTAAGTGAATGTTGATGGGTGTTTTCCAAGGTTTTTTAAAGGATAAAAAAGGGATATATAAAGGAAATATCAAACGTGGATTATCAAAGGATATTAAAAGTTATTCTTTAGAATTGTTAAGGAAATTTCATTTCCCCCAAAAACCTCTAACATTTTTTATAGTTGTTAAAAAAATAACCATTTTTTGTAATTAAATATTTTTTGTTTTTTAATGAAACACAAATATTTTTTTTTTTTGTAACAAAGAGCTAGGTGGTGGTGAATAAACATTGTGGCTGCAAATACATATGTATAAATATATAGAGAATAAATAAGCGAAATTAATGTATATAGTTTTTTGTGTGTTTATATATATATATAAAAAAAGAGACACATGGAAAATACTTAAAATAGTTTAAAGTTGAGTTGGTTGCCTTAATGTTTTATTTAAAAAAAAATTATTTATAGATTTGTTATTTTTTGTATAAATTAAATATTGTGCAGAGTTGTTGTTTTGAACAATTTTAAGGGGAGAGAGTAATTAATTATTATTAATGATTGTTTTTTAATGTAATTTAAATAATAATTTGCGGAATATATTATTTGAAGATTAAATAAAAAACAATTTTTTTATTAATTTACAAATTAAAATAGAATGGAAAAAAAGAATTATTTTTAAAAAAATATATAAAGAATAGCATGAACATGACAAACAATTTTGGAATGTAAAATCACTTACAGGCGTAGGCATTCTTAATGTAGTTACATACAAACAGACACACACACGTACACATTCACAAATTTACTTCACAGACAATTTCTCGGTTTTTCTTTTCTTTCCTTTTTTTGTTCTTTTGTTATATACATCTAAATTTCCTTAATATTTAATTTGTATGTATATATATTGTATATAGTATATGCAAATCTCAACATTTGAAAAAAAAAATATTTTTTTGTTAGACAATGATTTTCAATGAAAAAAAAGTGATGATTATCTCCGTTTGCCATCTGGTCAGGCCTTAGATTGCGAATCCCTCTTTTCTATATATCTCAGTTATTGTCCAGACATTGCATCTAGGCATCTAGTCGCTGATAAAACCACTCACCACCCCCCGGCTGGGGGAGGTGATCATGGGGCCAGGGTCAGTGGCGTGACATGGTGCCAAGACGAAACCATTCTATAGTCTCCTTGCGCAAATCATATTTACGCAAATCAATTTTAAAGCCACCCAACAGCTCATTTTCCTGCAATGTGTCGTGGGACCACACGGTCACATGCAGCTCGCGATTTTGTATAATTTCCAAGGGCATGCGGTATTCCAACTGTAAGGATAAAAAAATTAATTTAATATTAAATATAACTCTCCCCCCTCCCGCCATACCGTTTCCATATAACTGGGAACACAGGTTTTGCGCACCACCTTCGTCTTGCGTTTGGTGGCCTTTTTGTCATCCGGTTTTAAATAACATTTCACATAGGTATTTGGCTCCTGGCCACCGGCCAACAAAGGCAGACCCTTGGCGTGATGTATCTGGAGAAAAAAAAAGATCGAAATAAATAAAAACAAGTAACAATTGAATACCCTCCACTATTTCGAACGAATTTGGCAATTTTCAAACAAAAAAATAAATAAAATTCGTTAAAAATTCTGTTAAAATCCTAAAAATACCGAATGTAGCCGTTAGGGTCTATATGAAGACCTGCACAGACAATTTTCTGCCATAGGCGGTAGTATTCATTACGAACTTCAAATACCAAATTTGAAATAATTCCGGTGAATAATGTCGCTAAAATCATCAAAATACCGAATATCGGGTGGTAGCGTCATATGGCGGCTATACGAAGACGAGGACCTGCACAGACAATTTTCTATCTTGGGCTGCAGTATCCATTGCGAACTTCAAATACCAAATTTGAGAAAATTCCGGTGAATAATGTCATTAAAATCATCAAAATACCGAATATGGGGGATACCTTTATATGGGGGCCATACGAAGACGTGGACCTGCATAGACAATTTTCTGCCCTAGGCTGCAGTATCCATTGCGAACTTCAAATACCAAATTTTGAAACAATTCCGGTGAATAATGTCGCTAAAATCATCAAAATACCGAATATTGGGGGATACCTTTATATGGGGGCTATACGAAGACGTGGACCTGAACAAGCAATTTTCTGCCATAGGCTGTAGCATCCATTACGAACTTCAAATACCAAATTTAAAAGAATTCCGGTGAATAATGTCGCTGAAATCATCAAAATACCGAATATTGGGTGGTAGCGTTATATGGGGGCCATACGAAGACGTTGACCTGCATAGACAATTTTCTGCCCTAGGCTGCAGTATCCATTGCGAACTTCAAATACAAAATTTGAAACAATTCCGGTGAATAATGTGGCTAAAATCATCGTGAGGTACCGATATATGGGGGCTATACGAAGACGTGGACCTGCACAGACAATTTTCTGTCTTAGGCTGTAGTATCCATTACGAATTTCAAATACCAAATTTGAAACAATTCCGGCTAATAATGTCGCTAAAATCATCAAAATACCGAATATCGGGAGGTAGCGTAATATGGGGGTTATACGAAGACGTGGACCTGCACAGACAATTTTCTGTCTTAGGATGTAGTATTCATTACGAACTTCAAATACCAAATTTGAAAGAATTTCGGTGAATAATGACGCTAAAATCATCAAAATACCGAATATCGGATGGTACGGTTATAAGAGGCTATACCAAAACGTGGACCTACATCACCCATTTTCAATACCAAAAGTCCTGCAGACATAATACACATTTGAGTAAAATTTTATCAACCTTCTTCATTTCGTTCGGAAGCTAGAGTGATTTCCACAGACGGATAGACGGACGGTCATCGCTAAATCGACATAGAATTTTTGTACTTTGTGGGCTCTAAAATGTATATTTCGAAGTGTTACAAACGGAATGACAAACTTAATATACCCTCCATACTATGGTGGAGGGTATAACAATTATACCAAAATATCTCTCTATTCCCCTCTTTACTTACCATTACAGTCAAAACCTCGCGTCTATATTGCATTGATAGTTTCAATTGGCCCACCTCATTGGGTTGCTCTCGTGATGTCTGGGGTCGAATCTCTGTGCAGAAAAAAAAAAAACAAAATATTAAAAAATTAATTCATTTTCAAAGTTCTTGAAATGAAAATCTCAAAAAGGCTCACCCTTCACTTTGGACATATTCAAGTTAGCCTCTTTCTGATCCCTCAGCAGCGGATGGAAAAATGTATACACCAAATCGGAATGGGCAATTTCATCGGCCGAATTGAACAATGAGATTAGGAACTGTCGGATTTCCGGTAGACGTCTTTCGGCCACGGATTTCACATTGGAACGGCCCACATGCATGCCGCTGGGTAAACTGGAGGGGGAGGAGAAAAAAAAAATCAAAATAAAAAAATTAATGAAAAAAATAATTATTTCACTTCATCTAAAAGTGATAAAAATATTGGCAAAATTTAAAGAAAATCTAATATTTATTTCCAAATTAAGGCGAATAATTTGTAAACCAAATGTTAACATTTTTTGGGGGAGGTACCAAAAGAAGTGGACCGATGTGACTCATCTTTACAGCAGATCTGGTGTAAGTAAAAATATTGGGATGTGAGAAATTTGAAGAGAATCGGTATTTTGAAGATTTGAGCGACATTATTCCCCGGAATTGTTTCAAATTTGGCATTTGAAGTTCGTAATGGATACTACAGCCTAAGACAGAAAATTGTATGTGCAGGACAAGTTTCGCGTTTGAATATTTTAATGGCTTATGACAAAAGTTGCCTGTGCAGGCCCACGTCGTCGGTTAGACCCTAATATAACGGCTACATTCGGTATTTTTAAGATATTAACAGAATTTTTTAAGAATTTTATTTCTTTGAAATTTCCAAATTTGTTCCAAATGGTGGAGGATATTTGAAGTTCGTCCTGGCCGAACTTACAGCTTTTTTACTTGTTTAATTTTTTTTATATTTTTGTAAAAAACTTATTTTTCCAAAATTCTCAAATATTGGCATTGAAAATTAATTAATATATTTTTTTTTCGTTGGAAAAAATGTCCATGTTTTTCTTTAGAAAAATCTGTTCATTATTTATTTTTTGTTATATTATTTTTTTTTATTTATTTTTATTGATTTTTCATGTATTTTTTTTATTTTTTATGTATTTTTTGTTTTTTTTATTTATTTTTTTTTCATTTTTTATTTATTGTTTGATTTATTTTTTTATTTATTTTTTTTATTAATTTTTTATTTTCTGTTATTTTCTTTATTTTTTATTTATTTTTTTATTTTTTATTTATTTTATTATTTTTTTCATTTTTTTATTATTTTTTATTTACTTGTTATTTATTAATTTATTTTTTTAATTACCTTTTTATTGATTTTTTTATTTAATTTTAATTTATTTTTTATTAATTTTTTTATTAACTTATTTATTTTTTCTTCTGCATCTGAGCCGAAAAACTATTCAGCGTTTTTTTTTTTTTTTTTTTTTTTTTTTGGAAAATTCTTTATTTATTTTTTTAAATCATTTTTTATTTATCTTTTTATTTATTTCTTATGTTTTTTTTTTTTATTTTTTATTTATTTATTGTTTTTATTTTTTATTTATTTATTGTTTTATTTATTGTTTTTATTTTTAATTTATTTTTTTTTAATTTATTCATTATTTTTTTATTTATTTATTTTCTTTATTTTTTATTTATTTATTGTTTTTACTTATTTTTTAATTTATTTATTTTTATCAATTTATGTACTTTTTATTCATTTTTTAATTATTTTCTATTTATTTTTTATTGATTTTTATTTATTTTTATTTATTTATTGTTTATTTATTTATTATTTTATATTTTTAAATTATTTTTTATCTATTTTCATTTATTTCTTATTTATTTTTTTATTTATTTTTTAAATTCATTTTTCATTATTTTTTATTTGTTTTTTATTTTATTTTAATTTTATTTATCTATTATTTATTTATTTTTTTTTAATAATTGTTTACTTATTTTTTATTCATTTATTTTTTATTTATTTTTTTTATTTATTTATTTTATTTATATTTTGTTTCTTATTTATTGTTTTTATTTTTTATTTACTCTTTTTATTTATTTTTTGTTTATTTTTTTATTTCCCTTTTTTTATTTTATTTATTTTTTATTTATTTATTTATTTTTATTTTTATTTATTTATTTTTATTTTATTATTTATTTATTTATTTATTTTCTTTATTACTTTATTTATGGTTTCTATTTTTTTAATTGCTTATTTATTTTTTAATTGTTTTTTTTATTTATTTTCTTATTTTTTACTCATTTTTCTTTTTTTTTATTATTTTTTTATTTATTGTTTTTATTTTTTATTTATTTTTTTATTTATTTATTTTTTTATTTAATTTGTATTTATTTTTTATTGGTTATTTACTCATTTTCTTATTTATTTTTTAATTTATTTTTTATTCCTTTTATTTATTTTTTTTATTTATTCTATTTATTTATTTTATTTTTTATTTATTTTTTCCTTTATTTTTTATTAATTTTATTTTTATTTTTTAAATTATTTGTATATATATTTTTTTTATTTTTTTAATTTATTTTTTAAATTTATTTTTTTAATTATTCATTTTTTTAATTTATTTATTTTTATTTATTTTTGTTTTTTTTATTGGTTTATTATTTAATTATTATTTATTGATATTTTATTTTATTTATTTTTTATTTTATTTTTATGTATTTATTATTCATTGATTTTTATTTATTTATTTATTTAATTTGTATTTATTTTTTATTGATTTTTTATTCATTTTCTTATTTATTTTTTATTTATTATATTTATTTATTTTTATTTATTTTTTCCTTTATTTTTTATTAATTTTATTTTTATTTTTTAAATTATTTGTATATATATTTTTTATTTTTTAATTTATTTTTTAAATTTATTTTTTTAATTATTTATTTTTTTAATTTATTTTTTTATTTTATTTATTTTTTATTTATTCATTTATTTATTTTTGTTTGTTTTTTTATTGGTTTATTATTTAATTATTATTTATTGATATTTTATTTATTTATTATTTTTTTTATGTATTTATTATTTATTGATTTTTTAATTTATTTTTGTATTTATTTTTTCTTATTTTTTATTTTTATTAATTGTTTTATATATTTTTAATTTTTAATTTGTTTCCTTATTTTTTTTCTTATCTCTTTTTTTTTTTTTTTTTTTTTTTAAAAAAAGTATTTTTCCAAAATTCTCAAAGCTTTCCCATCGAAAAATGTGAATTTTGGAGTTATCCTTGACAATTCTCTTAATTTTCGTTTTAAGAGAAACAAAGAGAATACCACTTTTTAAGAGCAAACCCATGTTCAATGCAAAACTTTATCAGCAATCTAGACGCTGATAAAACGACAAAACCTACAACAGAACCGCACTGATATCTGTTATAAAAAGGCAACAACAACGACAAAAACATCTGAGTTCACAGAAACACAAATTCAAACTATGAGGGTATAATACCATGACTATATTGGAGAGTCGGTCAATAGCTTTACGCCGCCTCCAATCAAAACGGGGAGTAGCACGCTTGACATTCGGTTCATTTTCATTTTGACGAGGTGTTCGAATCAAAATTCTTGAAGTAAAATCAAACAAACAAATAATCGAAAGAAAATAAAAGTTTTCAAACAACAACAGAAAAAGCGAAATCAAGAGATAACAACAAAAAAAAGAAGTAACATGTTAAAATCATAGTTAAAGAAGTTAAAAAAGAAGAAGGGTGAAATAGAAAACAAAACGAAAAAAAAAATTGAAAAACAAAATTAGAATTATGGCAAAAATCAATTTGAATTACAAACAAGGTATGGTGTGGGGAAAGTTTGAAAATTTATTTGAAATTTTAATAAAAAAAATTATGCTACTCATTTTCTTCTCAAAGAAACTCCCCAAGTGGTGGCCATTTTCGGTTCCTTGGCCGTATTTGTGTGCCTGATCTTCTCACTGTTCGGCATCAAGTTGTGGTGGTTTAAACGCCGTTTGGAATTTGATCAAACCACCACCCAAAATGGAGCGGCTGGTGGAGCCACACCACAGGTGGTGGTAATGCGGAGGGAAAAGAAATCGAAATTTTCCAAAGACAAAAGGTGGTCACAACAGGTGAGTAAGGGGGAATAACCCTCCCCCGCCCACTCAGGGGTTCCTCAGGTTTCTGAAAATTCAGATTCCATTGAATTTTATTTTTCACTCCCCCCTCAGGAATATTTTAATTAAATTAACCTGTCTAATTAAATGAAATCCAATTATGCCCGAGGTCTCCTAGTTGACAGTCATTCATTTAGCAAAAAAACAACAACAGCAACAATAAAACTATATTATTTTTCTATATAGATAAGATTCATTTTGTTTTATATGCCGTTCATTCCGTGGGTCGGTCTATGGTTCGGTTACGTGGATGACGCATTGAAAAATTTTTGAGCGAAAACCTTCTTCTTTGATTATTATTATTATTTTTTAATGGTGGCATTCGAAAGTGTGGTAGAACCGACGCACATTTATTTCTCTTTAGATATTTGTTTAGAACACAGAAAGCAACAAATGAAGGCCGGAAGGTGGGGGAGGATTGAAGCAGAAAAATATGAATTGATAATTATAGCATTTATTATTTATTAAAAAAAAACAAATAATTACTTATTTAAGGAATTGTTTCGAAAAATAAGCGGAAAGTTTGGCAGAAGATATTTGAAACAAAAATGTGGTACTGCCACAACAAATGAAGCGGAGAGAGAGAGAGGGGAGAGGGAAAAAACATCACGAGATCACAGTTGCTAAAAATATAACAAATTTTTTCGTTGATACACGATCTTTTCTATAAGGAGAACTATAAATAAAAACAAGTAAAAAAGCTGTAAGTTCGGCCGGGCCGGACTTTGAATACCCTCCACAATTTAGAAAAAATTTAAAAAATTTCAAAAAAAAATTAAATCGGTTAAAAATTCTGTTAAAATCTTAAAAATACCAAATGTAGCCGTCATATTAGGGTCTAAACGATGACATGGACCTGCATAGACAATTTTTGTTATAAGCCATTACAATATTCAAATTCGAAACTTGAAAAAAAAAATTGGTGAATAATGTTGCTAAATATATAGGGAGGAACTTTTATTATATGGGGGCTATACCAAAATGTGGACCTGCACAGACACTTTTCCGGCTTAGGCTGCAGTATCCATTACGAACTTCAAATATTAAATTTGAAACAATTCCGTTGAATAAGGTCGCTAAAATCATCAAAATACCGAACATTTTAACCACCTTCATTTTTCAAAATCCAATTCCTAAAAACCTTAATCGGCTAAGTTTTCCGAAAGAAAATCTG